AGGTCAAGCAAGAAAAAGGAATATAAGTAGGACATACACTATCATCATTATTTAAATCAGGGTGTAAAAAGTTAGGTATACAAGGATAGTAACAAGACGAGTCTATTTGAAAATGAAGCATGTCATGTGGGGAGTGTAAAAAATAGATACATAGTTCATTTCTCACAAAACGATCTGATTTAATAATTCTGTTGCACATATATGTATGCATATATATCCATGTGTATATATTTATACAATGCATATGTATTTATGTACACAGAAATATAACACAGTCATGAATATATAGTACATTTTTCAATTGTATAATATCTTTTTATGACTGTGTTATTTTTGCCTCCTCAGATAAGATGTAATAAACTGAATCTCCTGTATTTACATTTTACTGTCAAAATAAAAGGTTTCTATAATTCAATCCAGTGTTAAATCATGTTTGATGTCCAATGAGAATCATGTCGGTTGTTCCTGTTTTCTACCGCTGTAGCTTGAAGACCAGCTCACCGCTGAGAAACTAGCAGAGTGGACGAGCTCACAGAATATGAGCGATAGATGGGTGGATTTATATTTACCTCGGTTCAAAGTGGAAGACGACTATGACCTCAAGGCCACGCTGCAAGCCTTGGGGATGCTGGACGCCTTCAATACACAGAGAGCCAACTTCTCAGGCATGACAGGGAGCCTGGATCTCGTGGTGTCTAAAGCCCTCCACAAGTCCTTTGTGGAGGTGACTGAAGAGGGCACCGAGGCCACAGCTTCTACAAACATAAATGTTGGGTATACATCACCACCAACTTACCATTTTCGTTGTGATCACCCTTTCCTGTTCTTCATCAAGCACAATAAGACCAACTGCATTCTCTTCCTGGGCAGAGTCTCTTCCCCTTAGATACAATTAGCCTGCCACTACTTACCGAGAAATGCAGTTTTTCCAGTACATTGACTGCTAAAAATAACATATTCTCTTTCATTCTTTTGTTCCTTTCCAATCTCATAGTCATCACTGGGAACGTAATGGTTGTCTATCTATCTCCCTCTTTCTACAAACACATGTAAACCTACTTTATCTCCCCATGATAATTCCCCTTTGGACAAAATGTTCAACACGAGGTAAAAGGATATTTTAATACTCCATCTTCTACTAAATTTGAATAATATCTATTTCAAAAACCATATCTACTATTCAAACGTACTAACCTAAATACCCACATTTATTTGAATTTAGGTGACATCTAGCACCCTTACTTGTCTAAATTTCTTTTATTTTGTGAAATAGATGATCAATAAAACATTTATTCAAATTATTTGTTGCTTTCCTCTTTTTTTCGTTTCAACAAAGTACAAGTGACCCACCACACAGAGGAAAGATAATTTAAAAATATGCTATCACATTAAAAAGAAAATTCAAAATAGGAGCAGAGCATGATAAGGCTGAAGGTAGTTTGGTACCAAACATGAAAGGTGCTGTAGGCCACATTCACAACTTTCTATTTTATCCTAAAACAAATGGAAAGCCAGTACTGGTTTCATTTGTTTGTTTCCCAAAGATGAGACTGAGATCATCATATCTGCATTTTAAAATTATATCTCTGGCTATTGTGATATAAATGGATGAGAGAAAAGAACAGTGTAGATACAGTGAGACTAATCAGTAAGCCATCAGAATGTCAGAAGTGGCACTGGGGAAAACCAGATATGTAAGAATTACTTCACAAGTAAAGTGCACAGGATTCCAGCAACACATTATATATGACAGAAATGAGAGACAGAAACCAAAAACCATGTCCAAGTTTCTGGCCTACCCAACTGGTCGCATGGAAGAAGATTTTGTTTTGGAAGGAAGAAAAGATCCTGGGTTTAGGTTTGTATCTGTCGAATTTTAACTGCTTTTTTTTTAAGTTTATTTATTTTGGGGGCGGTGTGCATGCAGGGGGGAAGGGCAAAGAGGGAGAAAGAGAATCCCGAGCAGGCTCTGCACTGTGAGTGCAGACCCAGGTACAGGGCTTGAACTCACAAACCATGAGATCATGACGTGAGCTGAAATCAAGAGTCCGACACTTCACCAACTGAGCCCCCCAGATGCCCCTTAATTATTTTTGAGACATCTCAATGGACTTGTCCAGTAAGCACTGGAATACATGAGTCCAGAAAGCCGGTGCAGGATATGATCTGAAGCTCTAAGTTTGTCATGTTCAACATAAAAGTTTTTCCATATTTATTCAGGAACTCTTAAACTTGGTAAAAAAAAAAAAAAGGGGGGGGCAGCTAAAGGCAAGAATGAGATCCTAGGGAGAGAATGTAACGTGATGAGAAAGGAGGGCCTAGAACTGCCTCTGAAGTACATCAATATACAAAGATCAGGTATTGACAAGTTTTAGTTTCTAGGACACAGCTTTGCTTAAAAGGACTGTGTTCATTCCAAATCCTTCTCAGTCAGTACTGAATCCCCGCTGATTTCATAAAATGTGAATTCTGGAGGATTTGAGAAAGGTCTAAATTTTCTCCGGCAGAATTCAGCAGCCCAAGAACACAGCAGAGCAAGTAAATATTTCGGCACGTAAGGGTAAGACTCGGCCACGAGAACTGAGCGACCATGCGGTGAACAGGCTGGGAAAGGAAGACAAGGTGGCCTGCGGCTGTCTGGATGCACAGAGAAGCTCTGGGCTACCTGACAAGGCTGAAGAAAAGAAATGAGAGGCATGAGTTGGTGACAAATGTAAAAGGATCAGAAGGTTGGCCCAAGACCTGGGATCCTGAATAGTATTTTAAAAGAAAGTTTTCGGTAAGAAGTAAATTCAGAGTGTCAACAACACTCAGTCTTCCAAATTCAGTCTTCGCTCATTTCTAATGATTCAATGAAGGCGAAACTGGTATAGCATTCTGGGGGGTTCGAACACTTGATTGTTGGAATGCCTTTAGACCACAACTTTCAACTGCTTGTTATTTTATTTGGGGTTCAAAACAAACTTTACAAAAGCACGCAAGACAAAGGCTCATAGGCATCGGAATCATATCCGGTAGAGGGCACGACTGATACCTAGTTGTGAGAACTGAAAACTTTTGCCTGCATTCTAGGCCAGTCAGAGAAGCAACCAGCAACCGCTGCCTGCACTGGGGCCCCGCGTAGGGAAATGGATGGAAAATTCAAATCTCGTGGCTTTATTTTTAAACTAATACATTATAATTCATTGCCTAACACAGGATATATTCACTCCGTATTGATAAAGAAATGCTTCAGTGAAAAGTTGTATAAGGAACGGATACTTACGTGCTCTCGAGCTTCCGCCCACACAGAGTACACCTCGCACCCATTACAGGGGTCCAAACTCTAATTTTAGTTCTAAAAGCTGGCCATATCAATGCTGGAGAGAATACGGAGCAAGAATGCCCATACGCTACTGGTGGGGGACACAGAAAGGTGCGACCCCTTTGGAAATCAGTGTGGCCAATTCTTATAAAAAGTAAACAGGTACCTAACATATGACCTAGCAGCCCCCCCCCCCAATATTTACCTAAGAGAACTGAAAACCTGTATCCATGAAAGGACTACACCCAAATGTCCGAAGCAGCTTTATTCGCAGGGCCAAAAGCCAGAAATAACTCAAATATGCATGAGCAGGGGAATGGACAAACAATGGAATAATAGGACTCGGTGACAGACAGGAAAAAAGTACCGACTCCTGCCGCGGGATGAACCTCCCACACGCTGTGCTGAGCAAAAGCAGCGGGACGGAGAGAACACGTAATGTGTGTTTCCACATCTACGAAGCCCAGCCTGCGGTGACCAAAAGCTGACTGGCGGTTTCCTGGGGCTGGAGCTGGGGAGGATACCGATGGTAAGAGAGTCCAAGGGAAACTTCTGGTGGGACGAACGCTCTACAAGTTGACTGGCTGGTGGTTACACGGGAGTTTATAAAAGGCACTGATGTGCACACTTACAGGGCATGCGTTTTCTTTCATGTAAATTATGACTCACTAAAGTGAGCTGAGGAGGATGAGGAAGAGAATTGCACAAAACACACATAATTACTATTGTTTCTGGAAGGACTTGGGTGGAAAAGACTTCTTAATTAAATTTGTTTTTAAGAGCAACCTCCTTCTTACCAACTCCGGGCCAATGCTCAATGTGTTCATATACATTTAACCATATTTAATGATACGCCAGTGTCCCTGTCATATGGAAGCATCATGAAACTGCAAATTAAAAAATGAAATTCTGTGATCTGTGATCTACCAAGTTGCCTTCACTGGTCATCAAGATGTTAAAAATGACCATATTTTGGGGCGCCTGGGTGGCGCAGTCGGTTAAGCGTCCGACTTCAGCCAGGTCACGATCTCGCGGTCCGTGAGTTCGAGCCCCGCGTCAGGCTCTGGGCTGATGGCTCGGAGCCTGGAGCCTGTTTCCGATTCTGTGTCTCCCTCTCTCTCTGCCCCTCCCCCATTCATGCTCTGTCTCTCTCTGTCCCAAAAATAAATTAAAAAAAAAAAAATGACCATATTTAAATTGTAATATGAGACTTGAGGGAGTTTAATGAGAAAATTCATTTCCAGATAATTTTCCGTTAAATGTCATGGGATAACATTTGGCATTTCAAGCTATTTTTATGTCAGTTTTTGACACAATTTTCACAATAGTCAAAGATGAAAGCCGAGCTTCACAAACTATTTCTGTTTACAAATGGAAGGATACATACCTCCTTCCCTTATGAGATGATATCGTCCTCTGGGGACAACCCTCAATGGACAATCCTACTGACTCCCTCAGAACAGGGAGTCTGCCCAAATTATTTATGCTGTATACCTGAAGCACACACAGGTGGTCAGTGACAATGTGACAAATTAACAAATGACTGAGTCTTTCCCCATAAGCCACTCAGGAGCCTATCATTTGTCCTATAAGAACTCATTTGTATTTCTACTATAAAAGACATAATAAACATCTAGAAAATGTGTTATCTGCCTCACTGTGTGCACTGTAGTGTAGCCATTCGACTAACAATTATTCTGTCCCTACAGTGTGCCATGCTGAATCAGGCAGTGGGTTCCCATACATAATAGGGTGACCAAAAAATAAATAAATAAGTCAAGCGTCCCGAAGGCCAGAATATGGGAACTGGATTCAAAACACAAGCAGGCCAAAATTTGGGAAAATGTCCCAATGTTAAGTGATCAAGGCAGAGTTCAAGGTCTGGACCTAGACAAGGAGTATGAATGCAATATATTACAGGTACGTACCTGAGACCGGTCAGAAAATAGCTGGCGGGCAATCAGAAAACTAAATATCCAAAAAACTTAAGAATCCCATAAAGAAAAGGCAAACTCATAAATTCAGGAAGACATTTTACAATAGACAGAACAGCCCAGAACTTCCCTGAGGGTTCTCCCTCCCAAGTGGCTACGTGTGTGTGATTGCCCAGAGGACAGGGATGTCCCAGAGCACAGAAACCCAAGGCCGGGCCCCGGCCTTCTAGAATCTTAACATTTAAGACTGCTATTGTTTCTGTGTCTCATCACTGTCTACCCAAATGGGTGGAAACCGGCAACACGCATAACCCAGAAGATTGCCTAAGATGATTCATATTTCACTTGAGACTATAATGTAATTGCTTTCTCCCTAAGAAGGATTCTTTGACCTGTATTTTTTATCTAACACTCATTTTAAGAAAAACAATAGCTTGCGTTGCGAGTACATTTTTTGAGCGGTCAGACCAAAGGGAAGTGAAGATAACCTGCACACAACGGAGCACCGTCCGCATCTCCGCCTGGGAGGTGATGTTTACGCCCACTCCAAGAGTGGCACATCAACGACCTGGAAGGCAACGCACGCTGACACCGCTGAGAACCGGTCATTCCACCGACACATCCCGCAGTGACAGGCTTCCAATGTGGCAATGAGATACCGTCTGTTTGCAGATGCAGAATGCCATCACAAATAGAGAATCATACGTATTTTTAAAACCCAGGGGATTAGTCTGTGTGAGCTCAGTGAGCCAGACCTCGTAAACACCCTTGATGGGCTTAATACACATATTGGTGTCCTGGAACACTTTTCCAAACTCTGATGCAGAGACATAAAGCAACCTGGGAGAGAACTGCTGCTCCACCTGGAATCCAATAACACTTTAGAACTGAGGAAATGGCACCTTATATTCTAATACGGTGGCTAAAAGCAAGATGACCGTGATTTGGTTTAACAAGGCATGACTCATACGAAATAAAACAGAAAACTCGGCAATTATCCTACTGTCTACGAGGAGTCACTACTATTTTCTACACTCTGTAACTCTAATAAGTGGGCTTGCTGGATACTATTTCCAAAAATCTGGCACTATCGGTTCAAGACAGTAAACACGATGATAAAGAAAACAATGTAATGAGCTCAAAGAGATAGAGACTTGAAAGTATATTTACGACCGCATTGTCTTACATAAATTTTGGAGCGAGATAGGACAGCTGTGGTAAGTAGGCTGCGACTGACCGCCCTAATAGTAATGGCAAAAACACAAGGTCAATGCCAACGATGTTAAGGGCAAATACAAATTAAAAATAGGGGCACCTGGGTGGCTCTGTCAGTTAAGTGTCCAACTTCGGCTCAGGTCATGATCTCGCAGTTCACGAGTTCGAGCCCTGCCTAGGGCTCTGTGCTGACAGCTCAGAGCCTGGAGCCTGCTTCAGATCCTGTGTCTCCCTCTCTCTCTGCCCCTCCCCCTGCTTGTGCTCGCTCTCTCTCGCTCTCTCCCTCTCTCTCGAAAATAAACGTTAAAAAAAACTTTTAAAAATAAATTAAAAATAAGAGGCTTAATTCTTCCTGTCAAATACAAGAGATTCCCCTCCTCTCCTTTTTCTCATCATTTACTCTAGAAAATGTGTAATTCTAAACACTTTCTCCTCTTTGAAATGTCTATACCCCCTTTTGAAGACTGAGCCTTCTGTCAGCTTCATGGCTTGAGGAAAGCCTTTTCTCAAGGACCCGTGAACCACCTCTTGGAAATGTAAACTTCATGGGAGCTAGCACCCCCATCTCCCAGTTTTCTAGAAGGGTAGGCACCTAAGTCAGAGGGCCAGGTTTCAAAAACTGCCTCCGACCCTAAAAATAGGAGAAGTCTGTTTTTCCTCTGGATAAAGCCAAGTAGCTCACACAGATGGTCACCTCAATTCCAAGATGAATCTAGGATGAACTGTTTGTGACACATGGTGCTATCAAGTCCTCTTACTTGAGGAATAGTTATGGTTTATTGTTTCAGAATATGTATGTTATGAGTTACGTCTGCTTGGCTATATAACAGGCTGTGATTGTCCTCTGCCTTTATACTCTCTTAGCAAATGGCCTGTGATACGCGTCACATTCTGGTTCAATGCTTCTTCAATAATAAAAGTGTTTTCTTTTTCTACCACCTTTGTCAAGAGAATCTCTAGGTTGGAAGAACACTTTAGTGTTTAATTCTATTTCCCTAACACTTTCCACTGTTACGAAGAGTATGCTTCGTCCCACCAGAATCCTGCCATGGGACACTAAAAGAAAATGTGTGTGATAATTTTAACTTTAAAGAAAGGGCGTTCTGTTTTCTTATATAGCTTCTGATGCTAAGCTCTACCAAGATTCCTAACCCACAGGAAAAATCAGATCAGAAATATTTACTGTTTTCAGCTCGCACATTTTGGTGTAATTTTTTATGCACCCAATAAATAACGAATACGGGAACTGATTTTTTTACTTTAATTTAAATGTAATGTAGCCGTGTGTGGCTGATCACTATACTATTGAAAACCAGAGGTTTAAAAATTTTGTTTGCCTGCCATTTCATGGCTCTATCCGTGAATTTGGAGTCTCAAGCAAGGCAAGAAAAGTCCAATTTTACGTCCCCATGGGTCCATCATATGTGCCTTAGGAGTCCAATCACCTCCATACCTCTAGCCAAAGAGCCGCTTGATTTCACCCACAAAATTTCATTAAACGGTAAAGAAAATCATACCAATAGAAACTCAGATCTACAGAAAGTACTAAAGATTGACCAAAATGGTAAACTGTGAGTAATTATAAAAGACATTTTTGCTCATTTTTAAAAGATAATTGACGGCTTAAAGCAAAAACAACAGCAATCTATTTCAGGGTTTATAAGAAACAGAAATAAAATCTGTCACTAGAATAGCAAAAAGGAGGAGAGCATAAAATGGAAGCACACTCTTTGAAAGTTCGCACATTAACAATTAAGTGGTGTATTTCCTAAAGATGGTCGGTGAAGGGTTAAATATGCAAAGTGTAGTAGATCTAAAACAACCACTAGTAAATCAATATTGCAGATAAATATAATACCAGAGGGGCCCCTAGGTGGTTCAGAAAAGTTGAGCACCGACTCTTAGTTTCGGCTCAGCTCATGATCTCAAGGTTGATGGGTTTGAGCCCCGTGTCAGGCTGTGTGCTAACAGTGTGGAGCCTGCTTGGGATTCTCTCTCTCTCTGCCCCTCCCCTGCCCGTGCACGTGCTCTCTCACTCCCTCACTCTCAAAATAAATAATCTCTTAAAAACTAAAATGAAAACTAGCTTATCAGGGCACCTGGGTGGCTCAGTTGGTCAAGCGTCCGGCTTCAGCCCAGGTCACAGTTCATGAGGTCAAGTTCTGTGTTGACAGCTCAGAGCCTGGAGCCTGCTTCTGATTCTGTGTCTCCCTCTCTCTCTGCCCCTGCCCCACACATGCTCTGTCTCTCTGTCACTCTGTCTCTGTCTCTGTGTGTGTCTCTCTCTCAAAAATAAAAATAAACATTTTAAAAAATTCTTGAAAAAACTAGCTTATCAAACACTTTAAAAAATGTAATACTAAAAATTCTCAATCAGAAAGATGTCAAGAAAAAAAGAAAAAGGAAACAACAAATGAAACAAGCAGAAAACATGGCAATATGGTAGATTTAAACCCAAACGCAAGCGTAGTTACATCAAACATAATGATCTAAACGTTCTATTTCAAGGACAGAAACTGTCAGATCGCCAGAAAAAGCAACACCCAATGGAACACAGTCCAGCTCCAAGTTTGATATTTGACTGCTGAGGGCATTCAAGTCCCATGTTTCTCCCCGGGACCCACATCTGGGCTCGCTGGTAAGAAAGCCCTAGAGCTCCCTCCCTCGGCACCTGCAGGAAGTGCAGAGCACCAAGCAAGCCCTGACAACCAGGTTAAGGAGCTCTTACCCAGGGCCAACTCCTAACCACAGTAAAGCCCTCCTGGCACTGAAACCCGGAACCTCAGTATTTGAGTAATAAATCTCGTCATACTTTCTTCGTGCATGCCTGGCATCATCAGTCTCAATGTCCAACTAATTTTTTTGGAGGGGGGGTCCATTCTACCTCCAGAAGATAACCACAGCATCCCATTATATGATAGTTTTAAAAAATATGGGGCGCCTGGGTGGCGCAGTCGGTTAAGCGTCCGCCTTCAGCCAGGTCACGATCTCGCGGTCCGTGAGTTCGAGCCCCGCGTCAGGCTCTGGGCTGATGGCTCAGAGCTTGGAGCGTGTTTCCGATTCTGTGTCCCCCCTCTCTCTCTGCCCCTCCCCCGTTCATGCTCTGTCTCTCTCTGTCCCAAAAATAAATAAACGTTGAAAAAATAAAATAAAATAAATAAATAAATAAAAATAAAACCTTTAAATACAAGGACACATCTAGGTTAAATGAAGGGATAGAAAAAATACACCATGCCAACGCCAGTCATAGGAAAGTTTGAGTGGCTACATTATTATTATTAGACAGAGTAAACCTCAGGACAAGGATGGGGCGGTCCTGACATCTGATGGAACCAGGGGTGCCCCGGTGGCTCAAGTCTGTTAAGCCTGGACTCAGGTCATGATCTCACCATTTCACGGGTTTGAACCCCACGCTGGGCTCTGCACGGACACTGCAGAGCCTGCCTGGGATCCTCTCCCTCCCTCTTTCTCTGTCCCTCCCCACTCACTGTCTCTCTCAAAATAAGTAAAAATAAACTTAAAAATAAATAAATTAATTAATTAATTAAATAAAAGAACAGAGGGGGCGCCTGGGTGGCTCAGGTCATGATCTCCTGGTTCATAAGTTCCAGCCCTGCATCCGACTCTGCGATGACAGCTCAGAGCCTGGAGCCTGCTTCTGATTCTGTCTCACTCTCTCTCTCCCTCCCCCACTCACGCTGTCTCTTTGTCTCTCAAAAATGAATAAACATTTAAAAAAATTACAAGAAAAATAAAACAGAAGAACCAGAAACTGACCCACACATATATATGTCACAAAGTTTCCAAGGTAAGTAATTATTGGGGTAAGAAGAGTCTTTTCAACAAATGATGCTGTAACAACCGAAAATTCACATGAAAACCAATGCGCCCTAACCCTTACGTAACAAAAACGTATTCAAGATAAATCATACACCTCAATGTAAAAGCTATTAGCATAAAAGTTCTAGGGAATAAAATTAAAACACAGAAGATGGTCTTAGCAAATTTGAGATAGGCAAAGATTTCTTTTTTTTTTTTTTACCTAATTCTTGTTCAACATTTGTATTTATTTTTTTCTTTTTTTTTCTTCAATTTACGAAATTTATTGTCAAATTGGTTTACATACAACACCCAGTGCTCATCCCAAAAGGTGCCCTCTTCAATATGCATCACCCACCCTCCCCTCCCTCCCACCCCCAACAACCCTCAGTTTGTTCTCAGTTTTTAAGATTCTCTTATGCTTTGGCTCTCTCCCACTCTAACCTCTTTTTTTGGCAAAGATTTCTTAAATAAGACCAAAATGAAAAAGAAAATCCAGAAGCCATAGAAGAAAAAAAGCGACGAATTGGACTTCATCAAAATGTAACCCATCCCACTGCGGGGGCGCCGCCTCTCTGGCGCCCGGCAGGGACCCCGGGCATGGGGCGCGGGGTCCCCCAGGCACTGGCGTCCTGCCACAGCGGGCCGGGAAGCCGGGAGGCCGGGCGGGGGTCTCCGGGGCCCGGATCCCGGGTGTCCTTAGCGTCCTGCGTCACTTTCCCCACCACCCGGCGCGTGAAGAGGCAGCCGCAGCTACACGAGGGCCCGCAGTGGCCTACCTGAGCTTTGGGGACTGCTTGCAGCGACGGTCTCGCCCCAGGCCTCCATCCGGCGGGCTAGGACCCCCTGTCCCTTAGCAACCACACAGCACGCGCTGCCTGCTGTGTGGCTGAGGCCCAAGTGGTCCGGCGCCTCCTGGAGGCGTTCACGGTGAAGTTCACCCACGACCAGAGCTGCCCCAACCCCGACTCCAGAGGATGCTTCCACGGGGGTCACGGAGATCGTGCGCAAACAAGGGCTGAAGGGGACGAGCCAGGGCCTCACCCGGCCACCCGCTTCTCGGTCAAGGCCCACCCCCGCGCAACTCATGTGGAAAGGTCAACTTAAGGAGGCCCGGAACCCGGGGTCGCCGAGCTCTCCCAGCTCTCGCGTGAACACGTCCCTGCGTCATCGAGACCCGGATGCGGGACGTGGGGACGCGCAGCTTTAACCGCGTGCGAGCGTGCCTGCAGACTGTGAGCTGTGAGCGGCTCAAGGCGCTCTGCCAGGGCTCTGACCCCCGCCTGGACAGGGCCAGCCTGGACGTGGCCATCCTGTTGGTCATCTGTGATGAGGTGGAAGCAGCTTAGGTAAGTGTGCAAGACGGACTGAGCCCTAGAGGGGCTGCGCGGCGTGCTAACCCCCAGGCGCCTCCAGCCCAGCCCCTGCCGCCCTCTTACTATGATTGCTGTGCAGTCATGCCCAGAGGCCCCCTTACCCTGTCCTTTGCACTCCATGGCCTAGGTCAGCCCTCTGTGGCCATCGAGTCCACATGTCCTGTTGTGCCATGTGTCTCTTGTGGTCTGGTATGACACCGCCATTTTATCCACGTGTTCGGCCACGGCTGGGTGTCCCTCTGGCCTGTGAATCTTTGCCCGCTTGTCCGTGTGCTTACTCTTGAGCTGTGTGCCTCTGTGTCACGTTCCGTGTCACATGACCCTGTGCCCCGCTTCCTGGGGTGCCTGTGTGGCTTGGGTCCATAGCCCTGGAGCCCCAGCCCGGCCCCAGCCAGTGCCTTCTGCTCTGGCGGCAGGGGCATCTGCGCCGTCCTCCCACAGCCTCCTCTGGGGCCCCAGCCTGGCCTCACCACATTCCAGGGGCTTAGCGCCATGCCCTGCCACCCTCATCCTGCCACGGGCCCTAACTGACCCTCAGGCCCTCCCTCTTCTGGCACAGGGTGGCACCCACCACTCTCCCCAAGGCAGAATAAACTGGATCCTGGGCAGACGGTGGGGGGTGGGCGGAATGAAGGAAGAAAGTTAGAAAAGCAATCCATATATTTGACGTGGAATTTGTATTCAGAATATATTAAGAGCAATTAGAAATCGACAACGGCAAGACAATGTAATAGAAATAGGCAAACGTTTTGGACAGACACTTTACCAAAGAAGAGAACCACAGTGAGAGAACACCTGCACACCCATTAGAATGTGTGCGATGGAGAAGACCGGCCACACCAACCACGGGTGAGAATGCAGAGCGACTGGGCTGCTCATACGCTCCTGGTGGGAGTGGAACATGGAGAACATTTTGGCAATTTCTTAGAAATTTAAACGCATCATATGACGCAGCAATTTCACTCTTAGATGTCTAAATGAAAACATACGTCTGCATAAAGACTCACGCGCACAAATGTGCATAGTAGTGTTATGCATGGTGGCCAAACGCCAGAAGCAACACAAAAGCCCATCAGTGAGTAAGTGGGTAAACAAGATGTGGTTTCTTCAGACAACAGAATAGTGTTTGTCAGTAAAGAGTAACAAACTACCGACACCTCAGCAACGTTGATGAATCTCAAAAACACAGTGCTGAGCAAAAAGAAGGGGGCACAAAAGAGGATATCCTATCTGAATCCACTCGAATGAAACCCTAGAAATGACAAATCTACCCTGACGTGATTGAAGGCAGATCAGCAGTTGCTGGGCTGGTGGTTGACTGGGAAGCAAAAGAAGAGAAACTTGCAGGGATAATGGAAATATTCTGCATCTTGGTTGTGGTGTTTTCACGGATACATACATTTACAAAGAGTCACCTTCTACATTTCAAGTAGGTGAATTATTTTATGTAAATTGCATCTCTGTCAAGCCAATTAACCGTTAATTTTTTTAAGTCTCTTCTGAACCTTCCTATGGAAAAATCCCAAATAACATAAGTAGATACTCTCCCCTCCAGAAGATAGAGCTTAATCCCTCCACCGCCAGTAGGA